AAGAATGAAACACAAAGCCCACAAAAGGAAAGGTCTTTCTTTGGTAATATTTTTTCCAGACAGAAATACACTTATCAGCAAGTCAGCTGAGCCAGCAACTCACCCCAAAAAGGTTTTGTCAAGTCAAAATTTCAGGCATCAGATTTTCATTTGAGCTGTTCTAGAGGAATATCCTAAACTGAAGGGGGGCATTTGGAGTAGGGCAAGGATCTTGCAAGAGTTCTAAAAAAAGTGGCTTCAAATTGGATAGATTAGAGTGAATGCAGTGATCAGCACCAGATAACAAAAAACTCAGCTAGCAAATCTAATAATTATGTTTGCAACCAGCTGTGACCTCATGAATTTGGTGTGTCCAGGAAGTATAGGACTGGGAAGGATACCCAAATATTTGGATATTTTTACCTGCTCAATTTGATTTCCCACTTATATTGGCATCTCTTGGTAAAGAAGAGCACTTTCATTGTGCAGTAATTTATCTCCAAACCCTCAATAGCATTGTGTTTTCAGCTAAAGCCCAGAGGGAGCAGTGGAGGCTGATTTGAGTAAAAAAAACAATAGCTGTGCTGTCAGTATAAAGAAGTGTAGAAATTCATCTGTGGTTTAGCTGAAGTGGGTGAAAATCATGTTTAGAGAGGGCCTGTACAGTTCCATTAACACAGAAGTTAAATAGGAGGAAAGGAAGGATACCATCTTAACTTTTTTGTTTTGTATGGGAAGTTGGGGCATGAGGGCACCATTAAGATCACATCTGACATGTGTAAGGTATCCTTGTGAAGCATTATAAATAAGCACAGTAAAAGGTAGTCAACAGAGGAAACGGCTATGCTCTGATGAGAGCAGCTAGAATATTTTTCTGCCAAATGCTGAAGGATAATGCCTTGGTCAAAAATTGAACCCCAACCTAAAGCCAGCCTGTTACTGCTAAGATCTTTTCTTGAGCTATCTATTCCTTCAACTTTACATAAAGATGTATTGACTATACTTTTTATTATGCTTAGTAAGATGATTGGGTGATAATTAGATGGGTTGGCCTTATGAAAGATTAGTTACAGAGTGGAATAGTTACCAAGTGCTTTCCATTCTTTAGGCTTGAATAGCAAGGCTAATAAGGTGGCCCATTTTGAATTTGATATTAAAAATTATTTCAGAATTAGATCACCTCCAGCAACTTTACAGAGACTTAAAGATGTTAGTCCTATCTCAGTAGGAAAGACTTTCCTTCAGTGCATCTAAGGAGGCACCTAACTCTGAATTGCTACAAAAGCAATCAGAACAACAGCAGTTGGACTTCCTCTGATGACCTTCATGAGCAAGGGGACTGTGCACAAGATGCTTTGGTGGGTATCAGCAGGCCTTGATAAGGTTTTGTTAAAGGATTTACATGCTATGACCAGCATTTCCTATTTCATCTAGAAGAATAAAAGAGTGGTTGTAATATTTTAAGTATCAGAATATATTTGTATGCCCAGGCTGCAAGAAGTGGCATGCAAATAATTCCAAATATATAAATAAGATTACCTCTTTGGTCATCCTGGAAACCAATCTGGCTGCTTCATTGTACATCAATTTACATTTCTGGACTGTGCTCAGTAGCCCACATACAGTGCACAGCAATATCAAGTTAAGGGTTTCCAGTATGTGTACCGTTGTTTCAAGCCACAATGCCTTGGGCTATTGCAGCAATTATGTTTTATTGTAAAACTGAATTTCTAAAATATTAAGATATATTAAGATTATGAATATATGTGGTATCCTCCTCTGTGTAACTGTTCAGCAGAAAGTATGATGCAATTATTCCTATTGGAACAGCAGTAGGGAAACTCCATTTGGAATGTCAGAAAAGTGGTTAGAGTTTGTCAGAGAGAGAAAGAGAAAGGAGGTTTTGCGTGTGGAAAAAACAGGTAAGTTAAAATTAGTCTGAATGGAACCGAATCAAGAAGTCTTAGTGGTTACAGCACAATTCAACTAGTCTAAAATTATGTCTTTCTCCTGCATCTAATTACACACAATCATACCCTGGGAAAAATGTTTTCCCCTTTGTCCCCATGATATTGCTTTCTTCTCATCCACCATCCATGGGTGAGACAGCGGTAAGTTATTAGCTGCGTTATTTCCCTTCTTCCAATGCTATCCAAAGATACTGTCAAGATGTATAAAATCTATGAGACTTTGCCAATCATTATCTTGGAAGGAAACCAGGTAGGGACTTGAAACCGGGGCAGGAAGAGCCAGGATGGGGATAGACAATGGATAAAGCTAATTTCATGGCAGGACTATTTTCTGCCAAGTGAAGAATGAGTGGATAACACTTTAACTCAGTAGTGGGTAAAAGCTCTTAGAAAGGCTGGACCTTTGACCTAAAAAGGGGCTACACAAAGCTGTGTATCTGCTTGCTTATGAAGTACATACAGTAGTCATGTCAAGAACCAACTAAAAACTGAAATTTCAATAATTATTGAGATATTACAAGATACAAAAGCAAGCATCTGAAAGATTTTACTTATGAGCATTATGCTTGAGGAACCAATTAAATATAAAGCTATAATCTGAAGGACAATATAAAGACAATTTTTCTTCTTGTTAAATAACAGCAGCTCTGAATGATGTCTTCACACCCATGTACTTCCTATAGTCCAACTACTATATTAAAAATATTAACTAGTAAACTGGATGGGGTTGTGTAGGATCTCAGCACTTTTGAGAGGTGGCTGTGGACAAGGAAAGATTATCAAAGATATTAATAAGCTAGTAAGAGCTGGTAACACCAACACTCATATACAGAGCAAGACACAATGGGTAGTTTACAGTTAACAAAGCCAGCAGCCACTAATCAAAGATGGCAACAGGTGATGGCCATGAGAGTTACATTGGCCAGAACTGTTTCTGAATGAGTAGCTGTTGAGTTTCTTCACTAAAAGCCCCCTTTTCCTGTTTTGTTCATCAGTCTCTCTTACAGTTTCTCTTTTCTCTTTCTTCCCACTCGTATATGAAGCCAAATGCAGAGATACTAGTCTATCCTCCCAAATGTTGTTCTTTCCCTACTATTGTTTAGTACTATATGTCCTGTTCCCAGGAAGTCGGGACCAGGAGAGGTTTCTGACTGAAGTCTGCCTTTGACAACCTAATTTCACCATCGTACTTATTACTTTCACTTTCCCAATCTTCAATCAGCTCTGGCTAGAACGCACAACTATTTGGGGGCATGATCAATTATTACATTTTTACAGTAAGGACAAACCCTCCAGATTTTATCTAAACTATGGCTTTCGTATGATAATAAGGGTTTTAATTTTCATGATGTTCAGCTTTACCAGCTTTATACATTTTGATTTATATTTCTTTATGGAATTCAATGATCAAATTCAACAACCATTATGGGTACAAGTAGAAATATATGATATGAATCTCTGGAATCTTGGCAGGGGATTGGTTTCTTCTTCAGTCAAAATTCGGTTGTATTTCCAGCATTACTGGCTGGAAAATATACTTAAATCTTGACCTTTATTGTCATGATAGGCTGTACTTTGTGGAATACTTCCAATTCAAAAATTGCAATTAGATCCTTTCTCTGGAGTTTATAAGCTAATAAGGGTATTATTGGATCAGGTTACTGAAAGTCAAGTTTTCATCATCTTGTCTAGAACTATGACATGGCCACGATTCAGTCAAAGCACAATGCAACCACAGCATCTAAAATGCCCAAATTAGCTCTGAAAGATACCAGCTCCTGAATTAGCAGTGAAAAGTATCTGGGATTATTTGCTCTGTAGCGAAATGGGCGGTGACAAATTTGAAATATAAATAAAACAAATAAATAAAATCTACAGTATTTTTAGACAGTTAAAGAGTGTTGCTAAGGTGAGTATTGGTTATTTGCATGTACTTTAGAATAAAGAGTTGGAATGCGTCATATTAACAATCTATGGTTAAAATAAGACTTAAAGAGCATTAAGTATATTTCTTATGAATTTAAGATGAGATTAATTCAACATAAGCATGTTTATTGGACATATTGGAAAATGATGCTGAAAACATAAACATAAAATAATGGAAGAGACACTTACCCCTTGGATATGGGCTTGTTCACCACTGACCTCATTTGGCTAAATATACGTATGTTTGTTCATATAGTTTTGGGAATGAAAGGAATGATGTGATGTCGAATTAGATACTGATAATTTTGAATTTATCTATCTACAAAGAACTCTGAATTTATGGAGCGTGGATTGTAGGGATTATTATTCTGTTATAATGAAAAATAGTGCCATCCCAGATTGACAGTTTTTAGCTGATATGTGTTCACGCTCCACTTAGGAATTGGCTCTCTAGCGACACAATGGAAAGACTGTCCAATATTATTCTGTTACTCCATCAGCAAGGTTTATTTATGTGCTTAAAACCTGAGCTGTTTTCTATATATAAAAGATATGTTTTGTCCTTCTTTTTCCCTTTTTTAGTTTAGTTTTTTTTCCTTATTTGCATTTTCCTTTATTTCTGTTTAATTTCTGTACATTTTAAAACAACTAAAAATCTTTTTAAAAAGATACCCACTCCCACTATTTCAGACACAGAGGTACACTTGATTATAGAGTCCTGTGAGAGGCGCTTCTTAAAGGTCTGGCTAGGAAAAAAGAAGTGGACTTGGCTAGGGCAAACACCAAACTGAATGTCATTCTGTGTTTATTTTTAATTCAGTTAATTAAATATACATGATTATCTAGTTTTTTAACATTTTCCTCCCTCTGTTGCAGTAAAAATTACAAAGCAGTCACAAATGGGGAAGTGCTCTGCAATTAAATTTGTTCCAAGTCATTTATTTTTAAGGGCCTCATATTAAAAACAACCACCACTGATTCTCTAACTTTGCTCTGCTGAGATGCAAACTATTAACAGAGTTGCCACTTGAAAAAAGCTTTGAGGAATGTTTGCATATCTGGAAGGGTCAGCCTTTTTCAAAGTATTCTGAACCATTTGTGTTGTATGTATTTCTCATGAACCAGGAAACGCCTTCTGTTGCAAAGATTACCTCATAAATACCGTCAACCAGAAGTCAGGAGAAAAGCCACGGGTAGATTGGAAGCTATCTGAGAGATGTTTAAAATCTGTCCTCAAAAGGAGTAGCAGCAAAAGAACAAAAAATTATCAGTGGCATTGTATTGGGAGCAAGAACTCTTTAGGTAAGAAGCTACTTACTTCATTAGTTGGAGTAAACAAAATGAATTTGAGCTGAAGGTTTTGCTTCTTTTTCTCAGCTTGGCCTTAAGAACGAACACAAAATAAGGCAATTGTACATTAGGTAAGATTCAATTTCCTTCCAGAATAATGCTAAATCTAACTAGTGTTGTATGACACTCAAGCAACTAATATGTATGCATTTGGGTTTAAAATCTGATGAAGAGATTAGAAAGCAAAATAGCAAATGGTGTACATGTTGAGCAAATGACCGAGAAAGACATAATCCGAGTTTAAGGGCTATCCATTGTATGAAAGATACCTCAAAGTAAGGTGGGTTTGGTTAAGGAATCTTGGGGAAGAGAGTTTACCAGCACTCACAAAATGGAGACAACTAATATTATTTACGAAGTAGTACAACTGTCCTCAACAGGCTGTGTTTCCACTTTAGTTGACAGTTGATCTGCTCAGTGGTTTTGCTTGTATGTTTGATTTTATCTGAATCTTAAGACACTTTCATCAAGAGAAGGGAAACAGCTTGCATAACTACGAGGGGCCCCATTCTTAGCTACCGTGAACAGACACTGGGGAACTATGGAAAATAAAACTGGTGGGTTCATGGAGACAGCATTCATTGCTCCTGCTGCTCTTCTACTGTAAACTGCTTTCACTGCAGTTTCTCCGATCTCAGGCAGAACTGATCTCTGGAAGAGGAGTGTCATTTGCTGTGCTGCTATGATTCAAGCGATAGGTATAGATTTCTCCTCATTAAAAGCATGACTGAGATAATGAAAGGAGGTCTGGTTTACTCTCTGCAACTAAGCAAAAGATAATGTGGCATAGTAGATAGTGTTGGACATGGAATCAGTCACAAGGTTTATTGGGTGATATTAGTCCAGTCACTATTTCACTGTCTAAACTACTGCACACAGGTTCACCAAGCGGTATCTCTATTGTCCTGTTGTCAACAGCTGAGTCTGCCATTCAATTTTTAATGGAGGTTAATATAAGTTTGGTTGGTACTTGTATTCTAATTTGTCAGAGTTATACTTTGATTTCCTCAAAGGAATTCAAAAGAGTATATAACCTATGGTTCTTCAGAAAAATGATCCTGCTAGGCAGGTCGGGTTGAGATAGCTCCTAGTATGCTTCCACTCCTGACTGTGGACCTGGATCTAACCTTCCCTGCCTTAGTCTTAGCCTTAACTACTAGATTACACTGCTCTAGATGTCAGATTGTTGGTTGTTAATTGGTTTGGGCTTGTATGTTTTCATTGTGATTCCTCTGCGTATTTAGCATTAGTATTAAATTAAAGAAATTAGCTCTTTTAACCAATTATGTAGTAATATATGATGTACACCACCGTGAACTCCTTCAAGAAGGGTAACATATTAATGGACAACAATATTGTTGTAAGGATTTATGCAAAAATTAAACAGGGTGGAATGGGGAAATTATGATTTGCAACAAAAATGCCAACTGTATTCTCTTTCCATTGTAGGAAATGCCTCTGACTCAGTGAATTGTGGAATTGTGGGCAAAGACACCAAGACATTTTGATTTTTTGAGAGAAATGCCACAAGTCATCTGGGCAACCTAGATGGGTTCTTTCTGAGTAGCACTCCCAGGAGAAGCCCCCATCTCCCAGGAATAGCATCTGCAAATTCCATTTGAAGAAAGAGCAGGTTGTGAGGAAATGTTGGATTCTGTCAAATGTGTTCTGGTGGGCGATGCTGCTGTGGGGAAAACAGCCCTGCTGCTGCGCTTTATTTCTGAGACATTTCCAGATGCTTACAGGCCAACTGTTTATGAAAACGCAGGAGTTGATGTTTTCCTGGATGGCATCCAGATTAGTTTAGGCCTTTGGGATACTGCTGGCAGTGATTCTTTCAAAAGCATTCGTCCTCTTTCCTATCAACAGGCTGACGTGGTATTAATGTGCTATTCAGTGGCCAATCACAGCTCATTCCTAAGCTTAAGGAACAAGTGGGTGACGGAGGTCAGAACCCACTTGCCTCGAATCCCAATTTTAGTGGTGGCTACCCAGACTGACCAAAGGGATACAGGTCCTCATAGCGCAGCCTGTATCAGCCCAGTGCATGGCAAACAACTGGCCAAGGACATCCGAGCTAAGGGTTATGTGGAGTGCTCATCTCTCACCAATCGGGGAGTTCAACAGGTATTTGAACATGCTGTCCGGACAGCGGTGAATCAAGCAAAAAAAAGATCAAGAAGGAATATTTTTTCAGTTAATGAATGCAAAGTTTTTTGAATGCCACTCTGCATCAATTTCTGTCTCCATGTCATTGAACGATTTCAACATGGAATGAAGAACAGCATCCCATTCTGTTAGCATTAGGATGGGCTATTTAGCACTGGCACCTGGAACTTTCTGTGGGAATACAACAACGATGCCATCTGATTTCCAGCGGCATAAACTGGAGACTATGAGTAGCAATCCAGACCCTCATTTTTTATTATGATGGGAATATCAGAGTGTATTTACTACTAGAAGTTTTGTAGGTTTCATGAAATGAGTTTGCTTTCTACATCCGAGATAATGGATGGATAATTTATATGGCAGACTTAACAGAGGCTTGAGAGCTGGACAGTACAGAAATATGTGAAATAAACAAAACCAATTAAATGCCCTTTTCTCTAAAGTATTGTAGAGATTGTTCATCTACTAACGATTCTGAACATTCTGTACTGATATCAATCTTTTCTACCCTTTGCAGGTCATAGATCAGATTTCTGGAGAAAAGAAAATATAGATGCACCAGCTAATTTTAATTTGGTTTAATTTATACTTTATTTCATTTTGCCAGAATTGGATGTTGCCCTGATAGTTCTACATTCAAAAACGAGCTGCCAGTGTGAAAATCAGATATATATTATATCCTGTGGCTTAAGACAGAGATTAGCTCTAGTGTGCCCAGTAGGATGCGGATGGAGATCTTCAGACTATGACTCCCATTTTTTAATCACAATGCAATAGAAATAATAATAAAAAACATGTACTGAATTGTATGCAAAATTCTATTGTCTACCATCTTAGTGAAAGATGATAGACAATGATGGAAGCTAAGCTTACCTACCTTCACAATTAAAAGAAATTCTCTCTTCCAAAAGGGGCTATTGACAGCTGAGAGAAAATACATAAACTGAACAAAATAGTAAATTGATTGAATGATTCCTGTACAAGTAGTAGCTTCAGAATTGGCAAAAATACAAGACTGAATCGCTCCTTACCACTGCCACCCCGTGCAACACTGGTTGGATTCCCTCTTACCAGAAGTGGTTAATGGACCAGGATGCTGCCTGGAAATCAAACAAACAAAAACAGACACAGTAAACTGTTTAAATAGAGTTTTCTGGTAGAAAAATATGTCTGAAGCTAGATGGAAGAGTAGACAAGATCTGGATATATGAATTCATGATTTAGAAAATATGTTCATAAAAGCTGTTAAAACTCCCCAAACAAAGCTTGGCAATCTTTAAAGGAAATATTTCATTCAAATATAAATAACAGCACCAGTAGCTTTTCAATAGGAAAGTCAGAAAATCAGTTAAGACCATTCACTGGAATTGTTAATAATAAGAATCTTTCCTATTTATCTTAGGAGAAGGATATAATAATAACCACATAGAAGTTTTGAGAGGAATGGATTTCCTCCCGTTACTTATCTGATCCTCGCAGTCCACATGTTGACTATTTTACCCGGAAGAACATTAGTGTTGCGTTGCTGAATCAGACAAGGGTCTGTCCATTTAAGTTAACATCTTGCTTCTAGCAATAGTCTCCTAAAATTTGGAAACTCCTAAGTACAACTTAAAAATAGCCCTCCTGTCTCATTTGTTTCAGACATTTGCTAAATCTGTTTAGATAGCATAACTAAAGTCACTTATAAACTAAATTCTATGAATGCATCTGGCCATTGTTGGGAAATGGTGTAAAAACCCCCCACCATTTTGTGGTGTTAACTTCTACCAGTTAATTATACATTGTGTGAAGACTCCTTCCCTTTTTATATTTTACAGTACATCTGATATTCTTTTTCTGATAATTCCATTCTGGATAATCAGAGTTAATCAGAAGTATGACTTCCCAACTTTATTAAAGGCCCACTCGTGGGCTTTTGATAGTAATTTGTTCTGAGGACATTAATGAATACGAGGTACCTTATCATCATGAAAGGCATCACTTGAAAATGTTTGCAGATCAAGGTATTCTTTAAGGCATAGGAGCAAGAAGAGGCCTTTTTTTCTGTAAAGCCCTAGTGTCCTTTGCACAGTAGGAGCTGTTCTGTGATCATGCAAACTTTCTGATATTTGATGGTTTTTTACTTATCTGAATTAATATCACGCATGACAAAGGGAGAAAGCAAGAAACTATCTAGAGTTGTAAGGCTCTGAGAACTCTTTCAGAACTTTATTCTGAGCTGTGTTTTTGTGGTTTCAGTTCAACTACTGGCAATTACCTTGACAGGTTTATCTGTCTTTAGTTCTTAAGAGCTTGTTAACTGACTGTCACTCTCAAGGGACAAAGGTTGAGTGGGCTGAATGGAAACTGCTTCATACTTTAAAGTGTTCTGTCAAGTCTGTGCTTAAATTAGGAACTGTTGTTGTAGATGCTAACAAAAACTTACGTCATTTCCTATATAAAGTAGAAGTTTAAGCTATCTAAAGTACCACTTATGTTTCCAGTGGGCAAGGAGTGGGCAAGCTGGACATTATAGTCTTTTTTTCAAAATGATCATTTCTAAATCAACACTAAAATGGTGTATTCTGTTTTAATATATATATGTTCCTGAACTATAGGTTTGCTGAAACTAGTTAAGTTCTTAAAGTAAAAGGGTACATGCAACATCTGTCTATTTTCATTTGTTAAGAAAGGGTTCTTTAAGGATTCTGACTAATGAGAAAAAAAAAAACCCAGCCCAACTCACGTCCCTTTTAAGAGCAGGTCGTCTGCAGAAATCTGTACAGTACAATTTATTTAGGACATAGAAAGGGATCCTCTTACTTGCTCATGACTGTAACTTGATGAGGGACAGAGGAACCTCTGCCCAAGGACATCTAAGTTGATGCCTAAAAGATGATGGCTGGGATGCAAAGAATTCCTATTTTAGTCTGCTCACTCTTTTTAAAAGCAAGAAATCCATGAAGTAATATTTTAAAGCATTTTACTGTGTTTTATGTTTGAAATGAGGACAGCTGTGGTTTTCTTACTGGCAGGTCTGACTATTTTTTGGGATGCATTTCCAGAGCCAATTTCTTGTAACATATGCAAGGTAACAAAAATAAAAACACCAGAGAATGAGCTAGGAAGGCTCTTGAATCATTGAGCAGCAAATATCAAAAGTACCAGGCCAGTCTCTAAGGACCAACTTGGCTACCCTGTATCTCCACATTATTCTAGTCATCACTACATACCGGAATATAGTGGTGAAGTATCTAAGACGGTACACAAAGCTAAAATATAATTTCTTTAGTTTGGGTGGAATAAATATTAAGGCTGGGCAGCACTAGAGATCTGAAGGGGAAAAGGTATGTCAGAGTGCACACAGGCACACTAGTTATGCCATCCCAAGCAAACATGGCTGCAATAAGGAGTGGCTGCTCACAGCCCATTCTGAGGAAACTTTTCCCTTTAAATCAGAAGCATAGCCCTAATGTATAGTCTGCATCTAGACAACTACTGTTTCTTTGCTACAGCAAGATAAATCAAAACATGATTCAACATTAAGAGTGAACCCAGCCCATAATGTATGGATGTTCTGCTTCTAGCAATCAAGACTAGCAAAGAAAGATGGTAGAAGCAGCAGACAGTATTATCTGGAGTTGCGATATTCCCCACTCCTAATCAGGTTGGAAAATGGGAACAGATGTCATGCGCTGGCAACTGTTTGTCGTGTTTATAAGAAATCAAACAATGCTATAAGTTAGATAAATTAAATGAAAACTGTCATAGTCTAGTATGTTGTTTCACAGATATGCATTAAGAATTTAATTTGATCCAAAGAAAACTCTACCTTTTTTTATAGGAGAGGAAGCTCTAATAAATGCATGGGTGGGGGGACAGAATCACAGAAGTAAAACCCATAGTTAATTAAGGAGGTTATATTTGTTCCCTGAGTCAATCCTCTTCCTCTGTATAGTTACACCTAAAATCAAAGCAGAAAGTATGTCTATTGCAACCCTATTCAAAATAATAATTCAAGTGTGAGAAATATCCAGAAAAGAATGAGAAAAGAATTTCAGAGTATTAGAAGATCACCATCTAAACAAGAACTAGCAGTATGATGCAGAAGCTAATGCAATCATGGATTGTCAGTGACCTATATTAACAGAAGCATTGTGTCCAGTTCCATTATAACTCTGCACTGGTTAAACCATGCTTTGGAGTATTAAATACAGTCCTGGGCAGCCCATTTTAAAAGAAACATGGAATGGGTTCAGAGATGTACCAGAATGATAAGGGATCTATGAAACAAGCCACACAAATAACTGTTAAAAGCTGGGCATGTTTATCTTGCAAAGATAAGACTAAGAGGAAATATGACAGCAGTCTACAAGCCTGTCATATGCAAAAGGGAGCAGAACTGTTCTCTGTTGAAATTGTTAAAAGAAAGAAGATGCAGTCTGAATGTTAAAAAAAAAAAAGTTCTTCCAATAATGCTGTAAAGCAACAGAATAGTATACTTACAACAACTCTGCCACACTGGAGGTTTTCAAATAAGGGCTAGATGGCTACCTGTTGAAGATGATTTAGCGGATTCCTGCACAGAGCAGGGAATTAGACCAGGTGACTTCCCTTCCAACAAACAGATTCTATAATTCTTTTAGATTTATTTACATCTTAATGTTTTTCAACAGGCTTAGGTTCTCTAAATCTACTATGTTCGGATATTATTGCTAAATATTCATTGCAATCTTCATCAGATATATTAATCATTCATCTATCAAGGTAAATGGAGTGGAATTGTTATTCTACCTAGAAACTACTGTGATTACTTTCATTTGTTGTTTAATTAAAGTCACATTTATATGGAAAGTAACTATTAAAAGCAATTATTTTTCTCTCATCATAGAGGGTAAGACACAACTAAATTAGGTTAACTATTTTGTGTGCGGGGGGGCAGGAGAATATTTGGAGTTGAATAACAATGCAACCAAACTGGCTGCATTTTATTTATTCAGCCATTTTGTTATCATAAGCCATACACAAAAGTACTACAAAGCCAAAAGGGAACCTTCTGTCTAAAGTTGATTGCAGAGTATGTGTACTATACAATTTGCTTTAGTTTATTGCCTCTGTACAAATATAGACACAGCATGCATTTCCCCCAATTTAGCAGACATTTCTTTTAACTGAATCCATTTCTTAAAAACATATTTTGTTTAAAATAAAATGTGATGAAGTACTGTATAGGAAAACAAACTCAGATCCATGATGAAAGCCCAAATCGTATACGATCAGCTGTTTATATTGTTATTCTATTTGCTTTATCAGAAATTGAAAGCCATTCTTGATATGATGAAACAACATGAAAGAAATTTACCTACCAATTCTGCAAATACTATAGGACTTTTGAGAAAAAAAGGTGGGTAACTCTGCCTGCAAAAGTGACTATTAATTCACACTCATTTTGAGGATAATACTATTAAATAGAGCTGATGGTTTTCTCTTTAGGATTCTACACCTGTAAAAGTTGATACATCTCTTTACATCGAAGATAAATGTTTATTGCTGATGCTGAGCAATATATTATTAACTAAGCAGTTAAAGGAACAAGGATCTATCCCACTAACAATGCCAATCAAAAATTCTGCTTCAAAATCTGATTTCAGTATCAGACTTCCATTTGGCAATTTCTAAGACGGTAACAACAATTTTCTACAACCATGAGAGATTCTGCAATATACTGAACCCTAATCCAACATTAAAGAGCCAGTTTGGTACAGTAGTTAAGGTATCAGGCCAGAGACTGGGAGATTGCAAGGGACCTTGGGCCAGTCCCTCCCTCCCAGCCCCAGGAACCAGGCAATGGCACACCACTTCTGAAATCTTGCCAAAAAGCCCTGCAGGGATTTGTCCACCCCGTCACCAGGAAACAACTCTGACTCAAAGGCGCGCACGCACACAGACACACACACACAGACACACACACACAAATCCAACAGTCGCAGGATGCTTCAGGAACATTTACCTGCTGATTTATATAAATGTTGTTACTAGGAAAGTAGGCACCAAAGCAGGCAGGTCTGATTTCATAATTAAAGAATAAGCCTACTTTCAAAATAATAGAAACTATCTTTTATTCATTTCATAATCCATTTCAGTTAATGAATGCTTTGAACAAAAAAAGTTCAGAAGGCTGAAGTATGACTTGTTTTTATTAACTTCTATATATAATAATATAATAATTTCATTGCACAATCAATAAGCATTTGTTTGGTTCCTAAAAAAAGATTTCAATAGGTTTGGTTATACACATTTCTACACATGAATGTGATGTAATTAATCTTTATTTTGTAAAGATGAATCTCTTTTGAGCTTCAGTTAACAACAGAAGGCACAAACAGTGTAGATTTTATGTTCATTATAACCCAACTGAAGGTTTCTGTGGGAATACCACAAAGTAATTTTAAAATGCACCTTACTTTAAAGAATTTACATGGTGAATTTAAATTAGTGAATTTACATGAATTTCACTTAAAAATAGTTTTTTTTTCAAAATACAAAACACCCAGTTGATAGCACAGCTGATAGATTTTCTACTGTAGGAATAAAAAACACAAGAGGAAACATTAAATATTTGTAAGCCATTTTATGAAGACCAATGCAAAACTGGTTTACCATCATCTACCTACAGC